AATCAACTATCCAAGAGAGTTTTATGAATAATCCCGGTGAGCATTCAAAAATGTATTATACAGAAAAAACACAACTTAAAAGGATTTAAAGAGCTTGATGGCACAAACCATGAAATCTGGCCTATGGAATCATTTAGTAAATAGGAATTCTACCAAACATATAACTCGCTCTAAAAAAGCAAATCCTATAGCAGGACTAAAAGATAGTTTTAAAAAAGAAACATATTTCATCACTGCCTCATCTCCCTTGTTTCCCAGTTTTGATTCCAATTTCTTTTAAATTATTTTTAAATTTTTAGGCAATTGGGGTTAAGTGACTTGTCCAGGGTCACACAGCTAGTATCAAGTATTTGGTCTGAGGCTGGATTTGAATTCAGGTCCTCCTGACTTCAGGGCTGGTGCTCTATCCACTGCACCACCTAGCTGCCCCTCCAAATTTTTCCAATGCCAAGATGGGAAACCTGTGGTCTCATGGCCATGTATTTGTTCTGTGAAGTTTGGATTCAGTTACAGGGCAGTACTTCAGGACCTGTAGGGCCACGTAGCCCTGACACTGCAGGTTCCCCACTCCTGGCCTACAGTATCATGTGCTCTTAAAGGTAGCAGCTGTCTTTTTCCTCTTTTTGTATTACTCTCAGCGCTTAGCACAGTGCCTGGAACACAGTAGGCACTTAATAAATGTCTATTGAATAAATGCATAAAATTGTATATTCTGCCCTAGATGCATCATCTAGATCTCTTCCAAATCCTGCAAAGGCAACTCTTAGAGACTAAAACAATACAACCTGTTGATCCCAAACAATTGAAGGGATTTGTCTGGAATAACATGATATAGACACAAGGGTTAGAAATAAAGGCAGTGTCAGGATTTGATAGTATATTGGAGAGTAGGAACCAAGAAAAGCATTGGGCACCAGAGAAAAGTAAATTAGGGAATGAGACATACCCTCTTTGTAGAATACAGTAAGTTGGAGTTTGTGGAATAAGGGTCTGGCAAAAGTAATAAACACATGGGGGTAGCTAGGTGGTGCAATGGATAGAGCACTGGCCCCGGAATCAGGAAGACCTGAGTTCAAACCTAGCCTCAGACACACAACCCTTACTAGCTGTGTGACTCTGGGCAAGTCACTTAACCCCAATTGCCTCACCCCCCCCCAAAAAAAAGTAATGAACACATAGAAAAGTCTGAGGTTCTATGAAAAGTCTCTGACCCATCATCTCCAATCTCTTTAAAGGGAGAGGTACATTCTCATATATTTGAGATCAAGCTTATTTCTTAGCATTTTACAGCATTTGATTAACATTGTTTTGTTGTTTTTCTCTCCATTTATAGTTATATTTATTTTGTATCTTGTTTTCTTGGTTCTGTTTACCTCACTTTGCATTTTTTGCACCTGGGCTTCTCTGCATTAGTCATACTCATTATTTCTTACAACAGATTAAAATTCTATTCCATTCATTCATCACAATATTTTTGGCCAGTTCCCAGTGAATGGGCACCTACTTTGTAACTACAAAAAGGGCTACTTTTAAAAACAAACACACAAAAAAACCCCAAAGCATGCAAAATCCAAAGGCAGTTATTTGCAAGGCTGTGTTAGAGTTAAATTCCAAGGAGGCATAGATATTTTCCTTGGTGTAGAAAGAAGGCTGATTATTTTATGTTTTCCTTACTGAAATTCTATTAAAAATGAATATGAATCTTGTGGGAATTCAAGCCTTGCACACTACCAAAATAATTTATAAAGTTAGGATGCTTTTAATATCCCCTTGAAGGCTCAATTAGGGTTTGGAAAGATCACTGAAAGTTGCAATAAAAATATTATGTTGTTTCTCTTTTCCACCTCCCAAATTTTTTCAAGTCTGTTAATGAGGGCCTGAAAAACTTACTTGAGTTAATCTAAAGTTTGCTAAATGTAATCATGATGATGCCTATCTACTACAGGGTCTCACCCTATATTTTTTTTCAAGCCCATCCCTAGCTGACCAATAAAAGCCAGTTTTGGATTCTGCCTTTCCCATTGTGGTACCTTAAAAGGAAGCTCTTCCAAATGAGGAAGGAGTTGAAAATTTATACAAACTTCAAGAAATCTGGAATCAGAGAAATTCAGCTGACTGTGCCCATAGCATAAAAATGAACTGTTTGATAAATCCAAGCAGCAGAAAATGCTGACAAAGGTTGTCTTTGTACAGGAGACATTAACACTCTTGACTGTGAAGGTGAAAAATTGAACAGATGGCACCTCTAAATGCAAGGCATACATACTCTATTTCCACTTGTGTTTTTCTTAAACTTTTATTTTAAATTTGGTGCTAGGAACAAAAAAAGTGTGTTGATAGCACCAGCTAGGGATGTACAAGCTTCTCCCTGCAAGTCTATTAATATGGTTCTAATTCAGCCCAGAAGCCTTAGTCCTCTTCAAGTTCCCAGGCCTTTCCTAAGATTTGGCAAAGGTTAGAAAAGATCCCAAGGTGAACCAGGTCAGAAAAATATACAAAGTTTTGCATCTATAAATCCTGATTCTGGAGTTATGTGCTTTAAAATAGAAATCCAAGTCAGGCTCTTCCCACAACATGCCTTTTTTACACTTTGGTTATCATCATTCACAAGTATTTACTGAGTATTTGTGTGAAAGCTATGAACCATGCAAAGAAATACTACTCATCACACTCCCACTACTGATCTTGTCACACATTAAGAACAATATATGAAGATAATGGAAGAATTATTGACTTACCCAAAGTTCTTAAATCTGACAAGTAAAGAGTTTGTAAGATCATTAGTTTAGGGCTATAGAAGACCATGGAGGTCATAAGGTCCAAATTCCTCACTTCAGAGATGAGGAAACAGAAACTTAGAGAAGGTTGGTAGCCTACCAAGATCATATAAGTAGTAAGTAGAGCTAGGATTTAAACCCAGGGCCTCCAACCCCAAATCCTACACTTGTTCCATTGCACATTAGTCTTATTTTAGGCAATCTTTTGCAGTTGGATAAAGGGATAAAGTTTTCCTGTAGACATTTTTTAAAAATCCACAAATTCCATTCCTTTGTCTTATGTACTGTAATTAAGCTACTCACTGGACCACTTTGTCTTTTGCAGAACAGGTATGTACAGAACTGCTAAACTGTCATCTGTTCATTTCTATGAGCTTTCTCTCTCCAACTATATTGCAAACTCTTTGAGGGTAGAAACCAACGCTAGACCCTTTGGAACTATCTAGGCATCTAGCCTAGGACTTGGTGCTTACTCAAGACTTATTCACATATTCATATAATAGTTTATAATTTGATAACAAAAAAACTGTATGGATAACTGGTCTTGGCACATGTCATTCCTCATCCCTCATGCCTGGAATGCAATCCTTCTTCATCGACTTCCTAAGATTTCAAGACTCAGCTCACATGCTGTCTTCTCCATTAAGCCTTCTCTGACCTGCCATGTTTATTCAAGCACTTTATCTCTCTCCCTCCCTCCCTCTGTCTCTCTCTTTCCCTCTCTCTCTTTCTTCCCTCCCCTCTCTCTTATTTCTCTGCCATACCTCTCTCATCCTTCCTCTCTCTCTTTCCTCCAACTACCTTTTATTTACTTATCTGTGTGTGGTTTATAAGCATACAGCATCCAGTCTTCCCTACCCCATACTAAAGTGAAAGCTCTTGAGGGAAGGAATTTCTTCATTTTTGCCTCTGGATCCCCAGGGCCTAGAGTAGTACCTTGCATATAGCAGGACCTTCATAAATATTTGTTGAATTAGACTAAGTCTAGAGGAGAACAGTTTTAAATTAAAAAGCTTTTGTTTTGTAAGGAAACAAAAAATTTCAATTGGAAGGATAAGCAACCCCAGTTGATGTTTACAATTGGAAATCTCTACAATTTTGGTAACAAGCAGTTTGGCATGTGAGATTTTCCCCCTTTTCCTTTATGCTGACCTTAGAAAATTATTTTCTCAATTTTTGGAGGGCTGAGATAGGGTTGGTGTGAGAATGGTGGTCCAGATTGCAATTTCAGCTTTCTCTCTAGGGATGGAAACTTCTTCCACCAATGCAATGTAACTTACAGGTTTAGGGAAGAGTGGGGAGTAAGCAAACTAGTATGTGCCAGGTGTTCTAAGTGCTATACAAATATTATCTCATTTGATCTTCACGATAACCCCTAAGGTAAGTGCTGCTATTATTTCCTCTTTACAGCTGAGGAAATTGAGGCAAACAGTGGTTAAGTGACTTGTTCAGGGCCACATAGTTAGTGTCTGAGGCCAGATATGAAATCAGGTCTTCAGGACTCCAGGCTCACTGTTCTATCCACTGCCCCATCTATGTGCCTACTATACTAAGAGGTTAAGTGATTGATTCATGGTCACATAGCCATTTTTGTATCAGTGTTAGGGTTTGAACCCAGTTCTTCTTGGCCACAAGGCAAGCTCTCCATCCACTAAGCCTTGCTGTCTTTCTCAAAAAGTTTTATCTTTCTCCATCTAATGTAGAATTCTCTGCAGAAATGCTCAACCTAGTTCAATCTCCATCAAAGATGATCAGTATCTTCTACCTCATTTGCATTATGTGATTTAAAAAAAAACTCTTTAAGCTTCTTTTCCCTTCCTTTAGAAGGTGTTTTCTGTGACTTGACTTAAACAGGGTCTGGGTCTTTGAGCCCAATGTCAGCTTTTCAAAGCTTCAATTATAACCATCGTCCCGAAGCAGCATGTTTGTTGTAAATACTTTGGAAAAACCCCTCAAAACATTTAATTCCTGGAATGAGATGTTCCTGGGGAGTACACCAACATTACATGTCACTGAAACCTTTGATTAAAACAAGGCGGTTGTTAGCATGGACTGGTAATGATCAAGCTTGTAGGCATTTTAAATTAGAGCTCTGAAGTCAAACACACACACACACACACACACAGACGGCTTTGCGATCTGCCTCAACAAAGTCTTCACCTTGTGGTTTCTTGTTTGTTTGTTTGTTGTTTTATTTTATTTTGTTTGTATGATTCAGTTGCTTTAGTTCTTAATTGTGAGGCTAACTCACTGTTTTCAATATGGTTTGGAAACTGTGTCAACACACGATTTTCTTCGTAGGGCAGCTGAGACTTCCTTACCAGAAGGTGCTTTGAAAGTGGTCCTGGGGTTGGCCAGGAGCACCGTGACTCCAGCAGATGTACCTTGGGGGTGGGGGGAGAGAGAATATCGAGAGGAAAAGAGAGGAAACTGGCCGATTAATTTCTTTTCTTCACATGCCCTTCCTTTATCAGTTAATCAAGAATCACTTGTGCACCTCATATACATTTATGCACCTTATGTGCCAGACAATGTGCTGGTACTAAGGACACAAAAAGAAATATTAAATAGTTCTGTCCTCAAGAATCCTGGGCATCAGTAATATGCTCTCCTCCACATCTCTACCACACACACACACACACACACACACACACACACACACACACACACTCATAGCACATATACGTACACATACACACATACAGAAACACAATTATACACATATGCATTCATACATACACATATGCATTAATATATACACACATTTTAGACTTCACTCAGTACTTTCTGTTTTGTACAGTTCTAAAGCACTTAAAATGTATGTTACAGTCATCTCCGCTCATGTCCTCTTTCCCTACTAAATCATAAGCTTCACAAAGGCAGAGACAACATCTCTTCTAAACTCAGTTTTTCCTCCTGTACTTAGCATAGCAAAGTACGATGAATAGAAGGCTGAACCTGGGATAGGGAAGACTGGATTCAAATCCAGTCTCTGACACTTACTAGGTTTGTGACTATAGAACAGTCTCTCAGTCTTAGCTGTCTAGTTTATGGGACAAATAACACCCATTTTGTGGGGTTGTTGAGGAGTTCAAAGGAGATGATATACATAAAATTCTTTGTAAAATGCTCAATAAGTGTTGGTCAACTATTCAGTTATGTCAACTCTTTATGACCCCATGAACTATACATGTCCATGGGGTTTTTTTTGGCAAAGATAATGGAATGGTTTGCCATTTCCTTCTATAGTGGATTAAGGCAAAGAGAGATTAAGTGATTTGCCCAGGGTCATCTGGCTAGTAAGTATCCAAGGCTGGATTTGAACTCAGATATTCCTGACTTCATGCCCAGTGCTCTATCCACTAAGCCACCTAACTGCCCATTACCCCTCTTTAACTGGCTTTGATCAATCAGGATATAACTTTTAGGCACTTTCTATGTCCAAGATGTATTATTTTACATACTAGGACTTAGTTGCTCTCAAGGACTTAAATTTTATGGACATGTACACAGATAAATAAATCCGGAATAATTTCAAGAGAGAACTAGAACAGTAACCAATGGGGTTAGGAAAAGCCTGTGTCACAGATGACATTGGAGATGGGGTTTGAGGGAAGTGAAGGATTCTAAGAGGCAGCAGCAAGGAGGGAGTGCATTCCAGACCTAGGGGACCATGGATGCAAAGGCAGAGAGCTGGGTGATGCAGGACCACATGTAGAAAACAGCTAGTAGGCCAGTTTATGTGAAATGGAGAGTATATGAAAGGGAGCAATATGAAAAAAGACTGGAAAGGTAGGTGGGAATGAGATCACAGACCTAGTGCTGGAAGCAAACAAACTTCTCTAATCTAACAGCTGCATTTTACAGATGAGGAAACCGAGGCCCCAAAGCAGCAACTTGTCATAGATCATATAGATAATTAACAGCAGAGCTGGGTTTCAGGCTCCATTCTTCTGACTCCAAATCCAGCACTCTTTCTGAGAGGATCTTAGTTGACTGGGAATTTTGTATATTATACCATAGAAATAATGGTAAGCCACTAAAGATTTTAAAGTTGGGGAATAACATGGCCATATTTGTGCCATTGGAATAACAATATTACCTTTGAATGAAGGATGGATCATAGACACTACAGGTTCTCCTTCTAGGTAGAAGCAGACGGGCCAACAAGAAAACTGTTGAAATAGCCTGGACCAGAGCCAAAACCAGGGTTGAGGCTGTGTGAGTAGAGAAAGGGATGGATGCAAAGAGATGTTATGGAAGTAGACAAAAACTGGAAACTGATTGGCCAATATCACAATTGAGACAGGCCTCTACAAAAATTAAACAAATGAATAGCAGAAGGCATCTTGGTATAGCACAAGAAACAGAATTAGCCTCAGTTCCACAGAAGTGCTAAGTTTTTCTTTACATAACTATAATAGACCTCTGAGTCATGCTCATGACAAACATGTTTTTTCTTACAAAGATACTTTTGCTTACTCACACTGGGGAGCTGCTTTGTTACTATTTGTGTGGCCTATTTCATGGCTGTGTCCTTCATTTAGGAAACAGCTGAAGGATTCTCAAACTGAAGAATGAGGCATTAACAACAGAAGTTTGGAATGGCCTTTTCTCCTGAAGTGCCTGGGTTTTCCTGTTCAGTCCCTCAGAGAGGACCACAAGTAGGCCAGCTTCTTTCTCACTAGTAACTGGAGTTTCTCCATCTACCCACTACTGCGGTCCCTAAGTCCTTCCCTGCTCTGAAGCCTTGCTCTTGGCAGAACAAGATCTCTTAATACTAAACAGCAGAAATTCTGCCCAGTATGATCTCATCTGCCAGCAAAGCTCTTTTGAGGACATGGCAATCAGGATGTAGGCCACACTGGGTCAGAAAGAGACTGGTCTCTATACTGCCACAAAATTCAAAGAATCATAGATTTAAAGCTGGAAGGGACCATCTAGTTCAGCTCACTCTTTAGTCTCTGGACTAAACCCCAGAGAGATTAAATTACTTGTCTAAGGTCACACAAGCAGAAAAGGATAGAGGCAGGATTTTAACCCATATCCTCTGATTCTGGAATCAGCATTCTTTCCTTTATGTTAAGCTCTAGAACTAAAGCGAAGAACCTAGGTAAAATTGTAAGTCATTAGAAGAAATGTGAGGTAACAAATTTTCTCATTTGCACTATGACAGTGGGTGAATACACTAAAGAGTTGTGGGGTTTTTTTCACTTTATTATCTCATGTGATAATTCTTAGTCATGCCCCAGATATATAGCAAATATGTCTCATACCTAGCAAAGATTTTTAAATGTCCTTCCCTCAATTCTTCATGCTGGCATTTAATAGTCTATGGTTAGTGCAAACATTTTGATAACTGAACTAATTACTTATAAACAGCAATTAAAAACTTCTCTAAATTTCTACTAAAAGGCCATCTATTACCATACCATATGGATGTCTCTCAGTTTGATGCAACAGTGACACTTAATGCCTCCAGTTCCAGCCACAAGAAATGCATTAATTTATGACCTATGAAGGGTAAACAGGTTATGTTTTTAAAAATCAACTTTAAGAAATACAGCTGCTTAAAGAACTTGTAAATATTAGAGCTGCAAGAGATGTTAGTGTGAGATCCACATTATAGGTAAAGAAATGAAGGTCCAAAGGTGAAGCAACTGATTCAGAATTGCAAAGCAGGGAGCCAGAAGGTCAGTGGTTAGTGTTGGAGTTGGACTCAGGAAGACAAAGTCAAGTCCTGCCTCAGATACTTGTTAACTCTGTGACCCTGAGCAAGTCACATAATGTTTAGGTGCCTCAATTTCTTCATCTGCAAATTGGAGATAATAATAGCATGGACCTTCTAGGGTTGTTGTGAAGATCAAATGAGTTAACAGATAAGAAGAACTTTAGAAACCTTAAAGTGCTATTTTATATAGTTATTGCTAGTTATTATTATTGTGGGCAGCTAGATGGCTCAGTGGGCCTGAAGTTAGAAAGACTTGAATTCAAATCTGGTCTCAGACAGTTACTGTGTGACTCTGGACAAGTCACAACCCTGTTTGCCTCAGTTTCCTAGTCTATAAAATGAGATGGAGAAGGAAATAGCAAACTACTCAAGTATCTTTGCCAAGAAAAGCCCAAATGAGGACACAGAGTCAGATACAACTGAACAACATTATTATTGTTATTATTATCAATAATAGTAGTAATGGTATTAGTGATGGTGGTGGTGGTCGTAGTCATAGTGGTATCAAAGGAAGGACTCAAATCCAGGTCCCTTGATTTTTATCCCAGTACCTTTGCCTCAACACAGTATTTTTCAAAATGACACTTGAAAATGACTTCATTTTAATTATGAACAAAATTCAGTGGTAGAAAAAAGTCCAGTAATAATAATGTTGCTAGTAGGAGGTATTGGCCTCCTAGCTTATTGTACTCATAATAATAGGGATAAGTTAGGTTATTAGATTAATTTCTAACCATCAATAATGTGAGCTCTGATCTCCACGCTTATCATTGATTCGATTGGGAATAAAAGAATCTGTCCTAAGCCCAATTCATCTTGTATATTGTTACTTCCTTTACTTCCTCCTTTTGAGGTATATGGAAGGCACAGAAACCTTAGAATCAAAGGTGAGTTTGTCCCCTAGCCATTCTAGGTAGAGATGGAACAAAGAGCCCGACTCCCTTACTGAGAAGTTAGGCAACTCCAGAGCAATTTGCCTAGGGAAGATTAAGATGGCAGGTAAAGGTCAGGAATTGGCTTCAGTTACTGTAGCCTCTGACAAGTGTGCTTAGCTTGGTAACTGTGTTAGACCAGGGCAACTTTGTCTGGGATAATTTAGGGGTCCTTTGCATTTGTAGAGCTCCACTGCCAGGATTCTATTTCTACTTAGGACTCATTCTTGGATGCCTTGGTGCAAAAGGACCCACTAGAGAAAAATTAACATTTTCCCTCTCTTTGGTTTTATATTATATTGGAGAGTCTACTTCCAGTGTGACCCTGCCTTATATAACATAACATATATAATATACAACATAATAGCCCTAATATTACTATGTTAATTGTTGACTTTGTTTACTCATGTGTATATACTTTGGTTGTTTTGCTTTTACTGTTGCTTAGTAGGTCCGCTGATGTTACTATTGCTTGTTTGTTTGCTGTTATGCAAGGTATTCTGTGTGTAATTTAGACCTTCAGTCATTGAAGCTGTTAGCCAAAGGATGGTTTGCACCATGTTATATCTATTGCATGCACTTTTGATATAATTTTTTGCTGGCCATGCCACTCTAACCTGGGATGTTTGGTTAATCACTCTTATTCTTTTATGTATCAAAATTTATTTTATGCTATGCTGTATTATTCCAAATGTCAAACTTTTGCAGCTGATTTTGAAAGGTCTACAGGGACACTTAGGAATTTTCCAGGCCAAAAGAGTTTGGTTTGAGAGGTGAGAATCTTCTAGTTGATCCTAAGTCCCTATCCTGTGCATTTTGGGAACTAGTTTGGGATTAGAAGGGAAATTCAGGGTTAGGGGTGTTTTTTCTTTTTTTTTTCTCTTTTGTTAGTTGCTTAGTTTTTTTTTCCTCCCCCCTGCCCTTTCTGTTTGAGTTGGGACAGGCACTTACAAAGTGCTAGGCAGGCAATAAACTAAAAAATCGATTGTTAAAAATATTCCCCATTTGCTGAATCTGCATAACTCTGTAATTGGGGATGCTTGGATTTTATTGAGTTGGTTTTTTTTTTTGGTGTTTTTTTTAGTACAAGCAACTGGGAAAGGCATTAAAAAAGAAAAATGCTTCAGCTTCCCCTAGGACCCTAGAGAACTGTTCTGAAGTGAAGATATGGATAATGAGCTCAAAATACAACCTGCCAGATACTAAGGGCAGCAAATGTTTCAATGGGAAAAAATGTGGTACCCCGGTAGGGTATGTTGCATTAGCATTCCATTTAAGGATACATATTGTCTACTCTTTACAGAGCAAGTGTAGTTTCCCAACTGCATCTTGTTGGCTATGATGCCTGAGGAGCTTGCACTCTGTAATGACCAGCAGAAGAGCCCTAAGAAGATCCTCTTCCTGGTGACTCTTAAGCATAAGAACTGGTCTAGGTTGTCTGAAGAGTTGGGTTAGGTAAGGGTGGGTCAGTCTGCCACCCCTACCTTACCAAAGTCCCATGACCTTCCTCTTATGTCTTCTTTCCTTTGCAGAGGGCCTTGTGGGATCTCAAAAGGCAACTGGCATCTTCCCCCTTTCTTTGATGCCAGAGAAGCAGGAAAGAGAAAGTACCTGAAAACTGGTGGGAGTGGGCTGGGGGTTGAGCTAGTTGCTACTGGAGTTGTTGCTTTGGCAACCACAGCAGAAGCACACCAGCAGAAAGAGACCACCAGAAGAGCATTTGACTAAGTGGACAACACCAATGTAGAGAATGATTTAGGCCCCAGCATCCAGGAAAATAGAATCATAGAACCAGAAAGGCTTTAGAAATTGTATAGTCTAAGTAGTATTTGACCAAGAATGTCTTCCACAACATATCCAACATTCTTTCCCTGAAGATCTCTAATGAAGGAAACCTACCACCTCCCAATGTAGACCACCTAGCTGCCTCTACAGATAATACTGGGAAGGTGATTCATCACTAACTTAATATTCATACAGACTGTCTGGGGCACCAAGAGTGACTTGTCCATAGTTACACAACTAATAGGTCTCAGAGACAAGATTTGAATACAGGTATTTCTGAATCCAAGGTCCACCTTTTATCTACTATGTCACACTGCCTCTTCTAATCCATGTTTCACTTGCAAATTTGTGAAATAACATTGTTGACCACACCTGCTAATTTTAGCTGCCCAAATCTAGAAGCTAGAGGCAGTTGTGGTAGGATGAGGAGGTATTAGAATAAGAAGAAATTAGTTTGAATTCTGGCTTTACTACCCTAGACAAGTCATTTATCATCTCTAAAACTATGTTTCATCTCACTTTCTGACCATCTCTATATCATACCTCCTGTCCTCTAGCCTGCACCACTAATCCTAACTCAAGCTCCAACCATGTGACCCTAGGCTGTACATCTTGCTCTCTCTTAGACTTATCAATCATTCCTGTCTATCTCCCTACCATACCTCTCCTTTCCTCCCCTCCCCTTCCAACCCTACCTCTATTAAATCAATAGTAATCTGATTGGGGTAGGGAGAGCATCTCCAGTCATCCTGAGGGCTTCAGAGGGGAAAGTGAGGCTGGTGACTTTGTACAGCCCTGCCTCACTTAAATTCAATTCACTTGCAAGTCATGGCATCATCTTCCTGATGTCCTGAGAATGAAGAACAAACAAGTAACCCGATCAATGCAATCATTCCTGGAAAGGACTTCTGAATCAACCATCTAATGATTCCAAACACCATTCCCTAGGACTTCTTGATCCAAAGCATTCCTCCCCAGCCACCACTCCCTCTATATATGCATCTTCCCCTATTGGAATGAAAGCTCCGTTAAGGCAGAAACTGGTTTTGTTTTGTTGCTCGTATTTGTATTCCCAATGCTAGCACAGTGCCTGGGACACAGTAAGTGGTAACTAAAGGCTCTTTCTTTTGTTCTTTCTCTTTCTACTTTCTCTCTTGTCCCATTGGTCAGACCATTGATAGAGAATTTTATTCAGTTCTAGGCATCATATTTTAAGAAGGTGGCTGAAAACTGGGAGATTGTCCCAATAAGGGAGACCGGGATGATAAATGGACTTAAGATCATCTCATTTGAAGATTGGTCAGGGAACTTTGAATCTTTACCCTAGAGAAGAGAGGATTTACATGGGGTTATAACAGCTGTTTTCAAGTGCTTAAAATGCTGTCATCTGGAAGAGATATTAGAGTTGTGCTTGGTCCCAGAGAGCAGAACTGGGAGCAGGGGAAGTTACTGAGAAGTGGATTTAAATGATATCAGGAAAACCTTCCTGATAATTACAACTATCCAAAAGAAGACTAGGCTGCCTAGGAGACAGTAAGTTCACCTTTCATAAAGGATCTTCCAGGGAAATCTAGATTCTCAGAAACATTGTAGAGAAGGTTCTGGTTCTAGTGCAGATTGGATTAGATGGCTTTTGGGGTCCCTTCTAACTCTGAGTCTAGGCTTCTATGATTCTGTTATATAGGTGCAGAACAGTCTCAGAGAAGCTAAGTGATTTCTTTAAGGTTACACCACTAGTAAATAAATGGCAGGATATGAATTTGAAACTAGATCTAACTCCATGTTCACTGCTCTTTCTACCAGTATGGTTCTTGAGAAAAGAAAAAGTCTCTTAAATTATTTTCAGGATCGATAATGACAAAGCCAGCAGGGAAGAAAGTAAAGTTATTCTTCCAGTAAACTCTAACCCTCTACTGATGCACCTGTTTTCTAAATCTGCCCAGTTTAAATTGGATTGGATTTGGTCATTGTCCCCCAGCCCTTTGCAACTGGGGAACTGACAAAGAAGGAAGCATTTTTCTATAATGTGTTGCAGTATTGTAGTT